TACCAAGTCAATTAAGAGCAGATGGAGGCGTTGGCAGCCAGTGGCTCCATTCAGGAGGGAACAAGCTGGAGGGCAGAATGTGGAGCAGTTCAGGAAAGGAGAGATTTTCCACAGCAGGGGAGGAGTTAGGAGGATGCAACAGGGACTGTGCAGATGCCAGAGAAGTAGAAAGGGTCAAAGAGAGATCAGGAGAGCCTTGGAAAAATCTCATCTATTCACATACTGGCTTCAGTTCACTTTCTTTCCTCTTTTCACAAAAATCTCCAATGCTTCTTCCTTTTCACTTTCCCTTTCTATCCCTTAATACTTGTATTTGCCTCTGAATCAGATTCCTTCTAAGGGAAAATAGGTAATATATACTTCCAAACAGCTTTTTTATTAGATAGCTGCTCCCTTTTGGCTGATGCCCTCTCTGCCTCTCTCAAGCTTTTGTCCTTACGGCACTGTGGGCGTGAACATTAGGTCTGGAAAGAGTAATTGCCTAAGTTGCAGTCTGAGTGCAGCATAATGCAGGGAAATAATTAACAAATCAGTCATCCAACCAAATGCTTATATTTGCATTTGCCATTGATATATGGAGAGAAAAAGTGCTGGTGAAGTATTTTTCAAATTTTATTGCAGCCACAGATGATACCCTGAGAGAGGGAAAGTAGGTCTGAGCCTAGGCCCAGAGTGATCACAGTTGTATTTGAAGTACTGCGAAATGTTCAGGGCTTTGTCTTTGTGATTCTCATTGTCACTAAGAGTGACAATAAGAAGTTACTAAGAGTGCTTACTGAGGTCCCAGGCAGGACATAGAGAATTACACCACGGTATCATGGGACTCAAGATTTTCTGTGCAAGAGTTAGAAACAAGCAACAGCTTCTGCTTGGCTGCCTAATTCACTGGTTAGATGAAAACTTAACTGGCTCATTGGTATCTTAGCACTTATTAAAGGGACACCTCGAATTGATAACCATGAGTAATAGTTTATCTTTTTACACCTCTCCCTGGCACTCCCATCATCATTCCCGGCAAATTTTCAGGAGTATTAATGTATTAAATCATACATATATATCAGAAGCCCTATTCTACATGAGTTTTTTTGCATCCTGCTCTGTGCTTACCTACTCCACTCCAGAATGCCTCATTTCAGTTAGGTGATAGCTAAAGTAAGGAAAGTTTCTAACTCTAATTTAATCTGTTTTATTACCTTTCCGTATGCTTGATGCCTTTTCATTTTCTAGTAGTTGAAATACTAGGATACAATCAAGAAGTGGTAAATAAGCGCTCATGTGTCATCAAATGACAAATGAAAAGGCATACTGTAGAAAAGAAATGTTGATTTTAGTTGTCCTGAGAATTAGAAAAGATAAACACTGACTGGTGAAAATATGAAATAGAAAAAAGCCTCATGAAGATAAAAAAGAGATATTATCTCTATGATCATGTCACCTCTTTGCAGTACAATATTGTGCTCCCCTGAGGATGCAGTTTAAGCTGATAGTGCATCACAGAACCCCTTTACAGTCTTTTCTTAGGCAGGCAGTTGACTTAGGCAGCAGTTGCATTCCTCAGTGCAGTTGACTTATAATAAACCTTTGTTGTAAGTACAAAAATACCAGGATTGAAGTCAAGTGCTCTTCAATTAAAGACCAATTTAGGTGGGAGCAAGTAGAAATTCTGGCAGTCATTTGAGCAGTGCTATCAAAATCGAACTGCTTTGCAAAACTACATCCATCTTGGTTTTGAACTTCGTTAAAAAACAGAACCAGTACTGAGAGAGAGAAGAGGTGTATCTATGGAAGGCAGAAGAGTTTTTAAAAAAATACCAGAATTATGTATTTTGTCATCATTAGAACTGTTCTAAGTCTTCATTTTGAAATGAGGTTTTTGTTTCTATCTTTAACTTGGAAAATACAGAAAATGTCTAAAAGTTGAAATCAAATTAAATACCTAAAAAAATAGTCTTGATTATTTTTCTTGATGAAAAATTTCAACATCAAATCTAAAATTATCACAATCATCTGTGAAATTTGGGCTTTCATCCTTCTCATGGCCCTACTGAGGAGGTACACCCGAAAGTATATGGAATAAAATAATTTTGCAATTGGTGGATTAAAATATAAACCTGGACACATATGTTTGCTACAGCGCCATCATCACTTGAAAAGCAAACTTCTGTTGCTGCAGGATTTGATCCATCTAGCAAAAGAGGGAGAAAAAAATGTTCTGAACTTGCAGATGTTTTTCCTGGAGGAGTAATGACTCTTATGTAAATAATCACTTTATTCTGCAAGTGCATACAATTTCATTCCACAAATTGATTTCACCTCTTCTGCCCTTTTCTCTGGTGCAAGCCTCTGCTAGATCTAGCAAGCCTCATTATTCTGTTTTTAAATATCAAAGCTATAAATATCCAAGTCAGAGCTGTGTAGGAACATCGTTTTCAAGTAACATCTTGAAATCTCCAAGTTGGTGTCAAATACAAATCTTGCCTAACATTGTGAATGACAGATGTATGTTATTGCTAATATGGAAGAAATGCAGCTTTTTAGCATCATCTTCTGTGGGCAGGTAATGAGAAAGGAAAAACTAAACATACTATAAACATCAGAAGTGATGGAATAGTCTGGTAAATAAATTCTTTTGCTGCAATACAACTGTTTTCCAGTTAAGCATCAAACATGCAGTGTGTGGTTGTTTGCTCAACCTCTATACATGGTAAAACCATATTTAGTGCTGAGCAGCTCTGGCACTAAAACTCATCATCAGCGAGCAGAGCAGGGGAATACTTAACATGTCATGCCCAGTCCCATCAATGTCACCTCACAGAAAACTCAGAAATTACAGTAATGGAAAGAGGAGCAGAATCATCCCCTAAATTTTTGTGTGCTCATAAACTCTCACTGTCAGTTTTCAGCTACCCTGTGTTATGGGCTGCAGTTGATTTTTTTCCTCTTTTTTTGCTGTCTTTCATGATACATGTGCATGTCTCATAAATATGAGTTATCGTTTCTCTTTTAAGCTAAAATGGTTGGAGGAAGAGTATGGCATTCGTTCCTTAGGGAGGATAACTTGCCTGAGGAAAGTTTGTTTTAGGCAGTTAGTGAGTAGCTCTTATTATTAGAACTTGAAGATATCTATTTCTCAGATAATTATATCTTGAGAGTATATTGTGATGTATTTCAGCTGTGAGTATGAATTACAATTTTCTAGCCCATTTTTTCAGGAATACTTTGTCAGTGAATTTCACAGGTTAATTGCACATTGTTTAACAAAGTGCCACTTTTCATTGTTTCATTGTTCCTCAGACTGCATTCATTTTCATAGTACCTGCTTGTAAGGTAGGCATCTATTATATCAACTTTGTTTTCAGCTATCAAAGTAGCAAAATTTCCTTACCTTCTAAGTGGAAATCTTCCACTGAGTTACTCTAAGGATTACTTCTTTTTACTAGGTGGTGTTTTTTTGTATGTTCACTACTGCTTATGGAAAAATGTTAAGTGTGGCAGTTAAAGTTAAACCCGGAGCTCAGTGTGAAGCTGGTTATTAATGCAGGGATTGCCACTGGGGATGAGCCCTGTTCCTGTTGAGCCCAGCTTCCCCTCTCTGATAGATGCCCCTGGTAAGTATTTCAGAGGAAAGTGCAGCACAGCCCTCAGTAAGGAAATAATGAACCTAACACAGAAAGTCTTTTGAGCTGTGCCATGAAAAATGAAAGTTTGTATGTTTACTTATTATACTCAGTCTAAAGCAGCTCTTGCGGGTTTTTGTTGTTAAGTAGAACTGTTTCATCCTTTCTGATACTCTGCTCTTCTCATAGTCTCAATGATATAACAATGAGTTTCACCTCAGGTTAATCAAGTTCTCTAGAAGAAGATGTTTTCCTTTATCAATTTTATATGTGTTATCTCTTCAATTTCATTCAGTGTCCACAAGAGTAGTTTTATTTCCCTTTTTCTATAATTCATTATTTTCTAAGCCTCTGCAATGTCTTCCCTTCTTCGTCTCCTGTCTAATGCAAACAATGCCAAATGTCTTAGCTGCTTCTACTTGATTTGTAAGCTTTTAAGTATTTTTATTTCATTTTTGTACTTGTCCTAATTTTGAAATGTACTTTTTAAAGATTAGAATTCGAGGCATAAGCCTCATCTGTAGGTTGGAAATTGGATATTACTTGTATAATTCTGATTCTTTTGACTATTTTTTTTTCTTTCGTTTCCTTTTTTCTGGTGATCCCATACATACTGGAACGATTTCAGGGGAACTTTCACCACTAGGCAGATTCTCACAACTCCTCCCACAACTACATCTTCAATTACCTGGGCATAGTAGAAGTGCTTCAGATTACATTTGCCACTGTGCTTTATTATTCCAATGAAAGGGCAAACTGTATGTTTTCAGAGCATTTTAGTGGGGTTTATTTTGAGCTTTTTAAATTATCAAGGACATGTATTTGCCAAATACAGGTGAAAGACAAGCACCTGGAGTGGCTAATTCAGTAGTGTTCTGCTCATTGTGAAACTCAATTGTCTGAAGTGAAGCCCATGTTTCTTCCTGAAGAGAGGTTTAAATAGTTGAAGTTGTAGTTATATGGTTTAAGCTATTAAATAGCAATTTTTTAGGAGTTATCTTGAGATGCTTCAGCACCAAAGTTTAGCCTCTGCATTTTAAAACACCTTTAAGTCTCTTTTTCCAGAGTGCTGACCAAACTTGAATTTATCTAGTTGTGGCTGACTTTCATCTATGAAAATGCAGTTTGCCACAAGTTGGGAAACAGATGATCTCCCAAGTCATAGGTTGCTTCCATAATTGGTGGATTTTCATTATTCGGAGAAACTTTCTCAAACTTCTCTCATTTAATACCTTTGTAAATGAGGATGTAGGACAGAAAAAGTCTAGGCTACGCTTAACTTTCAGTCCTGATGTAGCAGCTTTTTGGCATGAAATTAGAGCTGAAAAATGGGAGTGCGGATTGCACATACCATTTATTTTCTCTTTTTTGTTTTATCCCCAGGTCTAAACGTCCAGTGCCAGTTTCAACGACTGCTCCCAGAATTGACTCTCCCAGGGCTGTAATTCCCCATCAGAAGGTAAGTGACACGTTTCTCCTCACCCAGAGTGAATACCATGTCTATCTGCTGCAGTGAAAGTAAATACCTATTACAGGAAATAGCTTTTGCCTGCCCCAAATAATTACAGGTTGAATGAATGCACAGGCAGCAAACTGCTGCAAGGCAATGTATTAGTGATCTGTATTTTGCTAATTTCTGATTAGCAGAACCAAAGCATCTAGCTATCCTCTAATGTGATTTGGTCTGACCAATTCTGGGCAACTGTTTTCATCTTAGCTACAAGAAGCCACTAAAGCTTCTCAAAAATCTACATTTGCTTTTGTAGATTGTTGGGGAAACCATTAGACTGTGCTTCAATCTATCCAAATCCTGGCTGCAACTGAAATGACACTGATTTGCAAAGAGGACATGAGGGTATTTGAAAGCTTGCATCATATAGTGTTCTTACCATAGTATTCAGAAGACCTGAGAATAAAAAATAAAGAGGATAAGTCAATTTAATGAATAACAGCAAGTGGCAGAGGAAATGAATGGCTTGGTTCCCATTGTGAAAGCACATCATCTTTCATAAAAGAAATGTTCATTTTAGAATAAACACTGACTATACCTGGCAACTCATCTTCTGTATCTTTGGGAGACACCGCGGAGCAGGGGTACCTGAAAGATGGTGTATATATCCCTAGGCTCAGGCTCTGGGTAGGACATTTGTATTGCTGATGTATTTGATTAGATAAATGGACAGGAGCTAAAGTTTCCATTGCTGCAACTTATCCCTGCTGTCTGTGCCAGTTTCATTCCTAGCATGCATATAAAAAAAAAAACACTGAAGATCAAAATACATGGGGAATTAGATTATTTTCTACTGGTTTTGACAGTTCCAACTTCCATAGATCAATTTTAAGTAATTTTTATAAACACTATGCTTTCCAAATTCAGAGCACAGATGGTAACATCATCCCTGAAACTGCTGCAAATAGGTTCAAAATAGCAGAAGAGAATGCACCTGGGGGAATAATTTGATTCAATTTTATTTTGTGGAATTTTAAATTAACCTGACTGGCCATTTATTAGTTGAGGCAGAAATAGTTTTTTCAGACTGGATCTTGTAAACTTTTTTGGCAAGGGAAGACAAAATTAAGAATTTATCTTACTCAGAGTTGTTTCTGTTTATATCATGATTTTATACAAGTTATTTTGGAGGAACTTATTGGAATAGTCACCAAACTGAACTGTAAAATTCCTAGAACAAAAGCAATGGATCATTCTTTTGGTTAAATTGGTGTTTGACTGCACCAGCAAAGTAATAGGGACAGGAAGGGGAAGGAGTTCTCACTTTCCCTGAAGGCCCACCCAGAATGCTGTCAGTGTTCAAGGCAGTGAGTAGATGTGTCTCATCAGTTACTCACCAACACAAGATTGACACCTACCTTTTGGGGCTCCGTGGCACCTGCACAGGTATGAAAATTTTGTCTCCTTCCTCCATAGGCACATAAAGCTCTTATATATTGGATTTTCATTACTCTTTTAGATGCATTTTAGGTGTATTTCTTCCTTGGCAAGTGTCAGTTTTAAAATTGCTGCCATAGGTTTTCAAAGCTATTTACCACAGAAAATATTTTCCTCCCTTAAATATCTACTGTATAGAAAAGTTAACTTTGCACACAACAGAGGTTTCTTGAAGGTCCTAAAAGACCCCTTGGCATGAAAGCCATAAAGACACTTTACATTTCATATTCTAACCCTTCAGTGACAGATGAGGATCAAAAGACTCAACCCATTTTCAAAACCTTGTTGTCTTACATTTGAGAATTCTGTGCAAGGTGCTCAGGAAAGGTTGTAGGAGCTGCTGGAGGCAGCCTTTTCTGTCCCAGCTGCGGGCAGTACCAGCAGCTGGAAAAGAGAATTTGTGGAACCTTTCTAGAGAAAAGGGTGGCATCCAAGGGAAGGTATGCTGGGAAACAGCCTATCTTGCAGTATTCAGGAAGCTCTTAGGTGTAGGGTCTTTCACCCAGGGGAAGAGGTAACATTAGAGTGCTGGACCCTTTGCAGGTCAAGAGGAGTGACACTTGTGTCACTTGTCTATGCTAATAGTAAGTTTTAAGTGAAGAAGAATTCTTTTCTTGGGGTTTTTTGGAAGGAAAAAATACATTGAGCCCTCAGAGAAATCTCAAAATCCAGAATAAAAATACTTTACCGATAGAAGCAGTGTAATACTGATATGGCAGTAAGGTGGGTTACAGTAAATACACTTTAAACCCAAGGTTCCTTTCCTGTCCCTTTATTATTTCTAGTAACAGTATCACTGTAGAAATGAAGCATTCTGTGACACACAGGCAGAAGTCACCTCCACACCTCTGCTTGACAGTGTTTAGACTGATGGTTTAAGTGAAATTAATTTGATGGTATTTTTTTAAAAATCAGCAAAAGGCTGCATTACAAGACAACAGTGTCATCCCCATACATCAAGAGAAGCTTTCCTCACCCTTCTCTGGTTAAGGTTCAGGCATGGCAACGTTAGCTAAACAATTTGCATGTGCAACTTCAGTGTCTAGTTAAAACCATAAATCCTTTTGTACATTATGGCTGATTTGATTGCAGCTTCCACTAATTTTCAAGCATGCACTTCTTCTTTCACTATTTTTTTGTTTTGTTTTGTTTGTTTTCTATTTTAGCGAAACAAGCATACTTTTTCACAAAGATCAGTCATTATTTCACAAAGCTAATCAATGTTATGGATGACGCATGTTCTGCAACCATAAGTATATAGGGCTATTATTGGAAATAAGGTTTTCAGTTTCACTGTATCTGATATAAATCCCAAACTAGAAACAATTTTCATTTAGTTTAGTCAAATATTTTTGATTTAGTAAAGTCTTTTGCACAGGGGGGCATAGCTGCAAGAAAGGGCATAGTTAATGTTGAAAGCATTCAAATAGCAGTAAGAGTAAGCTTGAGTCCAAGGATTTAAACTAAGCCATCAATCAGTCAATGAGTTCCTGCAGCTCTTCAGAGGGGACATAACACAAGTAAAGATTCAGCTCAGTGCAGTTCAAAACATTCAAGCTGCAGTTCTAGGGCTTAAGCAAGGCTTTAACATTTGTCCATTTGCATGAAGGTATTGACAGCCTTGTTAATTCTAATAATATGGCTATGCATTGTGCTTTCTGTGAAACACTACTGATGACACTTATTTTGGAGTCCCAGTGAATGTCTTGTCATACTTATGATTTGTTTCCTCCAAATTTGGGAGCCTATGTGTCTAAGAGAAAATAGATGGAGATGACTTTTTAAGTAGAGTATAGGATGGAGGAGCTGGCTCAGCCAAAAGCAGTTTGATCATGTCTTTGAGCAGAGTCATTCAGTGCCATGGTGCCTCCATTCCCTTTATCCACTAAAAATTTTAAAGCCACAATTGTTTCTTGAGCATGTTGGGTGGTCAAATTTACTGGTAGGTTGTTAAAATTGTTCTCCCAGAAGTGCAAGAAGTGAGTAATGACTGTAGGGTCACAGTAATAGATAAAAAGACAATGCGTTGTCAAAAGGAGAGGACCTGCAAAAACCTGGTATTGTATTTCCCAATCTAAATTTATTTCTCACTTCCCTGATACATAGGAAGGAACATTTGCCTTTAACAGAAACTGGATTTTTATAAACAAATAATAATATTTCAGAATGGAAATTGAGCTGATTCCTAGCTTCCTTCTATTTCAAAAGGTTTGGGACTCCTCTACATTTATGAGTTTTAAGCTCATTCCCTGACATTACACAGTTTTTCTCCGGCAGTAATGGATTGCTGCACAATCCCGCATCTTTCTGAGGGGAAGCCCATTGCTCAGTGTCAGAGCCTCCTCTCCTGGTCGGCTGGAGGGTTAGCATCAGACTCCCAGAGCTGGAAATGTCAGCTTGCTTTTCCAGCCACTGAAACAGAATGGGATGAGAGATGGGGAACAGGGGAACGTTTGTTATTGTTGGCTGCATTTCATGTGATGCAATGCTGAAAGCTCAGTGCTGCTGCTCAATATTAGACATTTACCCTTCACAGTCAGAAATGGGTTCCAAAATTCTGCATTGATAAACTGCATCATAGATTTTTTTCTTTTTTTTCTTTTTTTTTTTCTTTTTTTTTTTTTTTTTTTTTTTTTTTTGTTAGTCACAAAAGGGAAGAGCTAAATATGTTGATGATGGGGCAGTAATTCTTTAGGAGAAGTACAGCCGCTCCCTTTGACACTTCCTGTTTCATCCATTTTTTCCCCCACAACACAGGGAAAACAACTACCCTAAAACTATCCAAAATACAAACTCAAGATGGTGATTGCTAACCTGGCGCTGCTGGGTTCTTAAGAATTCTAATGCTGATTTGCCAGTATGCTGGCATTCCAGCTAGAGATAGTTTAAGGAGCAAAACCAGAACTCCATTTGTGCCAAAAGGGAGCAAAATAATAAGCCATAATTTTTTACAGCTGTCCTATAATTTTCCCTTTGCCTATTGTTACTGTCCAGTAACACCAAGACTATGAAAATGCATTAGGGCTAAATAAATATGTGGCATTTCTCTCATTAGCAGTTGAAACTGATACTTTACAATCAGCTCTCCTTGCATGTCCTTTTATTTTGGGTTGCAGGAAGAAACCCACAGTTAACTAAAAGCCACAGAGTTTTCAGGGTAATAAATGAATATAGCTCCAGCATATCCTTTTTCTTCTCTAGTACATCTGTGTTTATTTTTTATTTAATAATTGGTTTTTTCCCTCTGTGCTGGCATGTAAAAATGGTTTGCCCAAGTGATTACTTAATTTTTGAACATATTTGTGCCTCTTTTTGAACATATTTTTAGAGAGAAGCTCTGTTTTCTGTTTATTTAATGAGATCCGGCAGCTTTCAATAGGCCACTGGAAGGGTTTGTTGTTTGCTGTTTTCAGTGTCAGGGTATAATAACCAAAGTATGTATTGCAAATGTATTTGTTTAAAAAGGCATGGTCTGAAAATGCTTTTAGGATTATCTGGTTCTACAGCCTTGG